CTTCCTGCTTCTTCGATGACACTTGACAGGAAAGGAAATTAAAGGAAAGAATCAGTTTTCCAGTTTTTATCCTGGAACCAGAGCCATTCTGGAGAATACCACCCTGGTCTTTCCACTCTAAAACAGGCTGATTTTACAGTATAAATCACCTCAGAGATAGCTGTTAAGGAATCCCAGGAGACAGGGTTAAGGACAAAATGGGGCAAACCCATCTCTAATTCTCCTAGAAACAGGTGGAGACTTGTAGTTTTGTATGAATTTTGAGAGTGGGTGGATTTTTCTAGCAAGAATTTTCTAGCAAGATATTGACATTTGGAGGTAGGCTAGGTAAAAGATGTTGAATGGTGTATTTTTCTGGATTGTGGAATTATGATAAAGCTCGAGCATCTCTTAGAGTTGTGAAGATTAACTGAGATAACTTCTGTAAAGTGACAATACAGGCAGTACTTCAAAACTCGACTCCTGTGAAGGACACTGCAATTGACTACAAAATATCCAGTTTCCCGTTCTGTCATATTAAAAGAACCTTGATATTTTTTTTTCCACATAGCAATGTGCCCACTTAAAAAAAATTGACCTCTCCAGACTCTCTTGCAGATAGAGGGAGCCTTTTGACCCAGTTCTAGGCAATGAGATGAAAGGAGAAGTCACTGACTAGAGTTTTCAGGAAAACTATATATATTTTTTTCTGACAAAAAAAAGGAATGACTCAGCCAGCCCATAACTTTCACCCTTCAACCTTCTTTCTTCTTGGAATTCAGAGAGGGAGTCCACTGCTGGACTAGCCATCTCATCATGATAAGGTAAACATGAAAACGAAAGCTATTTCCTGGAAGCGGAAAGTTGTTGGAGAGAGTTGAAGTAGAAAGACAGAAGGAGCCTGGACCACACGTGATGTCATGGAGCTGCTATAACCACCTGAACTGCGCCTAGTGGGGCACACAGTCTTAAACAGTTTGGCTACTCCTAGTATTAACACCTTGTCAATAAGCTTATCTGAATGATTCATGTTCATTGGGAGACCATTTAAATAATTATCAGTTCATCAGCACAGGCTTCTTAGAAAAAGTATAAAAATAAATCTACAAATATCAATGATAAAAATCTTTTAAAAGGAGATATGTATTACCCATAATACCATCACTCTAAGTTGCTTTTTAGTCTTTGTCAAAATGCAAACACGTTTTGCACCGTTTTAATTACTTAACAAATACAATATTGATCCTGTATTTTTTATTTAACATTACACTATAAACATTACCTCATGTCAGAGTTTTGCTTTTTTGGTTTTTTTGCTGAGGAAGATTGGCCCTGGGCTAACATCCATGCCCATCTTCCTCTACTTTATATGTGGGATGCCTGCCACAGCATGGCTTGATAAATGGTACATAGGTCTGCACCTGGGATCTGAACCTGCAAACCCTGGGCCGCTGAAGTGGAGAGCACGAATTTAACCACTATATCACTGGGCCGCCCCCCCAGAGTTTTCGTTTTTTATTTTAGTTTTTGTTTTAGGTGCTTCAAAATGGTTCTCATTAGTGAATGTCTCAAATTGACATAAGGCAAAATATTGCCTTTATTTTGTTTTGTGTGTAAAGGTCACTAAATATATGTGTAAAGGCAGTGTGATGTAATTTGGAGGGATATTTAATTCCAGCTTTCCTCAGAGTGCCATATAATTTTCTTGTTAGGAATTTCTTAAAAGTCAGTATAGATTGTGACAAAAAGATGTTTTGTGCTTCCTGATGAGACACCATAAGAAGTGTATATCACTTATGTGATCTGCAAAACAGGATACCTTGAATCCAATCATGAGGAAATTATCAGATACATTCCAGTTGTGGGACATATTACAGAACAATAGCCCTGGACTCTATAAAACCGTGTTAAGTAATTAAAAAAAAAAAGTGGAGAGGGGAGCATAGGCAGAGAAACTGTTCTAGATTAAAGAGATGAAAGAGTAATGACAACAAAATGCAATGTGTGATCCTTGACTGGACTCTGGATTTTAAAAATCCCATTTTGAGGATATTGTTGGAAAAATTGAGGAATTTTGAATATATCCTGCATATTAGATAACACCACCTAATATTTAATAATAATATTAAAGTTCTCTAGGGTAACAATGGTATTGTGGTTATGAAGGAGAATGTCCTTTTTAGGCATTAATAACTGAAATATTTAGGAGTGAAGCATGATAATGTCTGCAGCTTTCTTTCAGTTGAGTAAGAAAAAAAATCTTATCAATTAGTGAATCTAGGTAAAGGATATATGGGTGTTTATTCCACTTTCCTGTAGGTTTGAAAGTTTTTAAAACAAAAATTTTGGGGAAATTTATGGAAAACAATTTTGAGAAAGATAGTAAAATATTACCTGTGAAAGCAATTTCATTTTAGTTGAGCTTTCAACATCTGTTGCTTTTCTTAATGATTAGAGTGTATTGCTGTTTGAAAAACTTTACCTATCTTCTTAAAAGATCTTCAAATATATTTCTATGTTCTAACTAATGAATATTTGCTCATCTATAAATAAAATTAAGAAAATGAAATCTCCTTCTTCCCAAAAAAGTATGGTAGGCATTTATTTTTATTCCTATAAGCACATCTTTTGCACTACTGCTTTTCCTACTAATTCAGGGGTCAGCAAACTACTGCCTACAGACCAAAATTGGCCCTCTGCCTGTTTTTGTATGGCTTGAGTTAAGAATGGTTTTTATATTTTAAAATGATTGGAAAAAATCAAAATAATAATAGAATTTCGTGATATGTGAAAATTACATGAAATTCAAATTTCAGTGTTCAAATTTGTAAATAAAGTTTTACTAGAACACAGCTATATTGATTCATTTACATATTGTCGGTGGCTGCTTTTGCCCTACAATGGCAGAACCCCAATTAAGCAAAACGTTATTTCCTCAAAAAAGAATTTTACCTTCCCCTTAGAAGACCTGTATTACAAAAAATTGCATTCAATTATTATACTTTGAATAATAAGATAATTATATTTTATCAATAAAAATTGTGTGGAAATTTGTTTTTTGTCTTGTTGTAGAAGTACATTCATAATCTCCTCAATTTTGCCTCATGGTCCACAAAGTCTAAAATATTTACTATTATCCTTTTACAGAAAAAGTTTGCCAACCCTTGTTCCAGATCATAGTTTTCCTAAGGAATAAAGATATATTCTAAATCTCATTTTCCCATGTATTATCTGAAAGAGATATTCCATCAATCAATTTGCTAATATTTGAAATCCCTGTCAGATACTAACTGGCTTAATTTTACAGTTATCTCAAGTAAAATTTAAAGATCCATTTCATTGGCCTACCAAAAAGTTTATAACTCCAAAAGAAAATTTTTTACATAAAGTATGACTAACACAGAATCTCTAATCCTACATCCATTGTGATATTTTCACTATACATGTGACTATTCACTTATAATACTCCCTCCTATTTGCCAGTTCCTAATTTAGCATGGTTTATGGCAGGAAACCATGCCAGTCCTTATGTCCTTCAATCACATTACTAAAATTCTACTTATATCAAATGATTTAATTTCGTCCTATTCAATTTAATTTCCCCTTTTCATTGTTTAGAGTCCTAACATCAGGAAAGCACCATTTCTAAGTTCTGAGTTAGCTTTCTCGTCACTTTCCAAGTCTGTCAACTAACTGAGCAGGTCAATTTAACTAAAGAGAATCCACGTGATGGTAATGCCTATGTACATTTTAAGATCAGGGGAAAATGATCTTGCATGAAAGGTTTGCCTTTTCACGGAGTGAACAAAGTGTGTGCAGAAAGTGGTTCCCGAACCACGAAGTTTCTGAGGTAACTAGATAAGACTGAGTTGAATGCTTCTCTGTGTTTCTGGGGTAGAAAAGTCTGGGAACTTAAGAATTAAAATCATGATTCTGGCCCTCACTTGGCTCAGAGACTGAGCTCAAACCTTGATTCCAAAACAAATTCTAGTTCTTGCTTCCAGTAGGAACAAGCGGGGTTTGGAAGTTATGAATAAATGTATTTCTGTTATGAAGATGGTGGATAATCTCCTTTCTAAGGAATAAACAAGAGGAGTGTGGGAAGCAGGGAACCTCTACCGAGAGGTAAAGATAAAGAGGGCGGAAGTGAGAATGGGAGGAGTGAAGGGTAAGTATCAAGAGAGTTAAATAGCCAAGTAGAAAAGGGAATGTTTGAACAGTACAGGGATTCATTGATGTGAATGCTACCACACAAAGGGCATGATCTGCTCACCAAGAGACAAAAGCCAAGCGTCAAGAGGCAAGATGGTAGCAGGGAAGGGGCATTTTATTACAGCTTGCCAGCAAGAGGGAAGATGGCCAACTAATGTCCAAAAGAACCATCTTAGAGGGGCACAAAATCTTACAGCAGTTACATAGGCCAGTGGGTTAATAGGGAGGGGGTTAGGAATGTTGATGTTCTAGTGTTACAGACTGGGGGTGCCACACCAGATCTTTCAGTTTTCCTTGATGACAGCTGTCAGCATAGACTCTCTGGGGGTCATCACATTCCTAAGGAACTCAAAAGAACAAAGTTATCATCTTATCACAGCTGGGAGGTACGTGCACAAGCAGAGGTCCTAAAATCTACAGAGCAGTTAGATCTCCTGGAGGGTGCAGATCCAGCTGGGTTAGTTTGTCAGTGGTCATTCCAAGTTACAGTAGGGTTTCTTTTCTACAATATGGCTTCCCTTATGTCAACCTTGTCTTAAGCCCCTATCACAAATTCCTCTTTTCATGTTCCCAGAGGGCTCAGGTTGGGGAATGTAAAGCCCAAAAACCCAGGCGACCACGCCCCTTCACCCACTGGCGACAAGAAGCCTCCCCGTGGCCCACGCGGGGGTTGGGTCCTCCCTGACAACGGGCCGGAAGCGGGAGCCGCGCGCGGAGCGTCGCTAGCGCGCCTGCGTGGCCGGGAGTCGTGGGCCCGCCGCGGTCTCTGTAGTAACGGCCCCGCACTGAGCAGTTGGTCCACGGCGAAAGCGCGCCTCATGGCGCCAACATCCCTGTCCTGTTATGCCGAGGACACCCGGGGATCTCGGCGGTGGCGACGCAGCTCGTCCGGGAGCCCGCCTTCCGGGCCGGCCAGGCGCTGCCCTGGGGGCGGCTGTTCCCGCTCTCCCTCCCGCGGCCGCGAGGGCCTCCGGCCTCGGTGGGGCGCGGCGGGCGCCGGCGCTCCTCACCCCCTTAGCCGCCCGGGGTCTCGGGAGCGGCCCCTCGGGCTCCGCAACTCCGCCTTCTCATCCTCTTCAATCCACTACGGCGGATACCGTTACCACCACCACCACCACCACTATGCGGGCGCCCGGCAGTGGGCGGAAGACTACGAGAAGGACAAGGAGGAGAGCTTTCGGCAGAGGCGGCTGAGAGCGAGAGAAAGGATCGGGGAGGTGGGAGCTCCCGAGGTGTGGGGGCTGTCTCCGAAGTTTCCTGAGCCTGATTCTGACGAACACAGCCCAGCTGAGGATGAAGAAGTCAAGACTCAGAAGAGCAGCAGTTCAGATTGCGGCTCTGAAGAAAAAAGGAAAAAGAAGACCGGTCGTTCCAAAAACAAGAAAAAAAGAAAGAAAAAGTCCAAAAGAAAACATAGGAAATATTCTGGTAATAGTGACAGTAATTCAGACTCGGACACTAATTCTGGCTCTGATGATAATAAAAAGAGAGTCAAAAAAGCCAAGAAGAAAGAAAAGAAAAAGAAACACAGAGCAAAAAACCCCAAGAAAAAGAAGAATAAGAAGACTAAAAAAGAATCCAGTGACTCAAGCTATAAGGATTCGGAAGGGGAGTTGCCGCAAGATATTTGGATTGAGCAGTCAAGGATTGCAGATACCATGGATCTAATAGGTCCAGAAGCACCTATAATACACACCTCTCAAGATGAGAAACCTTTGAACTATGGCCATGCTCTACTCCCAGGGGAAGGTGCAGCTATGGCTGAGTATGTAAAAGCTGGAAAGCGTATCCCACGAAGAGGTGAAATTGGGCTGACAAGTGAAGAGATTGCTTCATTTGAATGCTCAGGTTATGTTATGAGTGGTAGCAGGCATCGCAGAATGGAGGCTGTGCGACTGCGTAAAGAGAACCAGATCTACAGTGCTGATGAGAAGAGAGCCCTTGCATCCTTTAACCAAGAGGAGAGACGGAAGAGAGAGAATAAGATTTTAGCCAGTTTCCGAGAGATGGTGTACAGAAAGACAAAAGGGAAAGATGACAACTAAGGACTTTTTGTTCTACAGCAGGACTTTTAACAACAACTTTATATGAGCAAAATAATATTGAAACGCTATGTTGCTACTGTACCTATGTTAGTAAGTCCCTCAAGAGAAAGCTGCTTTTTGAGTTCTCTTTAGCAAGTTATTTTTTATTTTTAACTTAAAAAAGTAATATGTGCACATAGTTTAAAAAATATTCAAACGCTACAGTAAGATAGTCAGTAAAATGTGAGTCTTTCACCCCAGTCCCTGCTCCTTCTCCCCAAAGAAATCTCTTTTTGGTGTTTTCTGTATCTCACCATAAGTTGTGTGTATATACAAGCATGTGTATTGCAGGATTAAGGTTGGAGCTATTAACCTGAAGGTTGTTTTCCTGTAGCCCTGACTTTTTTCTCTCTTGGAGGGCTTCGTTGCCTCATGGAGACATCATTTGCCCCAGGGAGGACCAGAAAAACCCTAGAAAGAACAAAGGATCCAGTTGAATGTATCCTTCTGGTTGTAGTTAACAAACTGAGTTAAAAAATAGAGGAGATTTGCTGGCTCCCATAACTGAAGAGTCCAGCAGGAGATGGGTTTCCTGCATGGCTTTAACATGACTTTGGCTTCTTTCTTCTCTATAGTTCATTTTCCTCCTCAGGCTGGTTTCCCTTAAATAACAAAAGGGCTGCCAAAGCTCCTGAGTTTGGTTATATATTTCCTGACCCACCTTTGAAGAGAGAAAGAACATTTCTGTCCTGACATTCCAAACAAGAACCCTGAGATTCACTCTAATTGGGTTAGCTTAGGTCACATGCCCACCATCAAAAAAAGTGCTGTTGCCAGGAAAATAGAATGGCCTACTCCTGGAGCTGTAGGTATGGTCAATTTATGGGCTACATGGGGAAGAAAGGGATACCTGAATGAAAATCAGAGTAATGTTGGGAAGGGAGGATAGGCAAGCAACAAAAGCCCACTACAGTTTTGAATGATTTTTAAAAAACATAGACTAGAGAGTACGTGTGCTAAAAGCTAAAATTTTCTTGAAGAAAAGCTTGGCTTTGACTATTAGAAGCTAAATACCTGATTGAAGGGGGCATAGAGTTTATCCATAAAAATAGACATAAAAGAGAAAACATGAAGATCCAAGGTGCTTGAGTCTTTCAAAGAGTGGATTAGGTGCCACCTAGACTAAGAGAAAGAAAAAATGAGAAGGTATAAAGGAGGAGGCAGTTGGTAGAGCTGATGAGGAGACCAGATCAGGAGGGACCGTGTGGATAGGAGAGTTAGCATTGAGAGACTGGCTTAGCACCAGTGCTGGAGAAGACTTTAGAGTGAGCTCTAGTCATGGTCTATAATAAAGCCATTGTTGTCATTCTGTGACATCTGCCTGAACCTTGAGACTTCATTTCAACCCTAGCCAAACTATCTCTTTTGAATAACCCCCTTTTCAAGGCTCAAGACCCTGTTAAACCACACACAGCTGAAGGTGAGGTGGTGGGGTTCTAGAATCTGGCAGAGAAGCGTGATGTTGAAGGGTACTTTTACTCCAATATGTGACTTGGTTGACATGGACCACACAAACTTGAGATACTCCCCAAAGAGTGGTGGGAACACTGATGAACACTACCTTGTTACATATGTATATTTCCATTTTTAGAAACAAGCCATACCATACTATATGCATGGATCTACACCTTGCTTTTTTCATTTAACAGTACACCTTACAGATATTTTATATCAATGTATATGAATCTACCTCATTCTTTTTAATGATTTTGTGGTATTCTGTTGAAGGAAGGGCCATATTTTATTGGATGTTTTAAGATGTTTCCCATATTTTGCTCTTACACAATACCGTAGTGAAAATCTTTGTGGATGTGTGAGAGTATTATCTGTAGCATATGCATCTAGAAATAGAATTATGGGTCAAAAAGAATCCTTTGGGTCATCTAAAAATGGCCACTTTGAAGTGAAATTGTTGGATCAAAAAGAAAATATTTATTAGGTGCTTTCTATATGCTAGGCATTATAGCAGGCACTGGGAATAAACCAATGAACAGGTTAGGCTTGATATTTGCCATCACAAAATTTTACATTCTACTGGGGGAGACAGACGTTAAAAAGTTAACAAATACTTAGAAATTGCAGTATGCTATGAAGAAAATAAGGTGCTAGAGGCAGTAATGGGGGACATTTAGAGTTGCCAGGGAAAGTCTAAGAATATCACATTTAAGCTCTATGTGCTTTAAAATTTTAGTAGATGCTGCCACATTGCCTTCCAAATAAGATGCACCAGTTTACACACTCACCTACACGATTGATGATATTGTACTTCTAAACCTTTTGATCTTTGACAATCTGGTAGCTGAAAAATGGCATTTCATTATTTATTTTATTTTTATTCCTTTAAGTAAGAGTGAGGTTAAGCATCTTTTCATATATATGTGAGTTTTTTGTAATTCCTTTTGTGTGTGTATGTGTGAACTACTCACATTATAACCTTTTTCCATTTTCCTACTGGTTTGTTTGTCTTTTTCTTATTGATCAATAATAAACTCTTCAAATAATAAATAAATTAGCTCTTTATCACATATCTTGTGGATACGTTTTCCTCTTATTTTCCTTTTGAATTGCTTTTCTGGGAACACTTGATCACATTGCCCTTTAAGGCTTAAAAAGATTCCCTAGCACTAGCCATACAATTAAATATGTTTGTCTTTCTGACTTGGGAAAAAGATGCATGTGAGAAACTGTGGCTTCTAAGTAAGCCAAAGTGAGATTGGTGGGCTTTCTTTCCAAAATGATGAAATACACACAACACAACCAATAGTAAGTGTAATGCCTACGGCAGAGTTCTTGTGACAGCATTTTGTGCTATCGTTATGCTTAACTTGTTTTATGTTGCTGTTAGAGAGGAACCTGGCCAGTAAATCTGCCTTAAAAGAGATTTTGAGGGCCGGCTCCGTGGCTTAGCGGTTAAGTGCGCGCGCTCTGATGCTGGCGGCCCGGGTTCGGATCTCGGGCGCGCCCCAAGGCACCACTTCTCCGTCCAGCGCGAGGCCGAGTCCCACGTACAGCAACTAGAAGGATGTGAACCTATGACATACAACTATCTGCTGGGGCTTTGGGGGGAAAAAATGAATAAATAAAATCTTTAAAAAAAAAAAAAAGAGATTTTGAGATTTGGAATTTGATTGCAGATCATATTGTCTCAGGGGAGCTAATAAAAGGAGCCAGAACAACAGTTTTTAAAGTAATTTTGCCCAAAGTATGTGGTGATGGGTTGTGGAATAGAAGAAAAACAGCACAAAAGGTTTTTTGGTTTTTTTTTTTTTTTTTCACTGGGAAAGATTCGCTCTGAGCTACCAGCTGTTGTAATCTTCCTCTTTTTTTTTCCTCCCCAAAGCCCCAGTACACGGTTGTATATCGTAGTTGTAAGTCATTCTAGTTCTTCTATGTGAGCCACCCCCACAGCATGGCAACTGTCAGAGGGGTGGTGTGGTTCCAAGACCGGTAAGGGAACCCAGGCCACTGAAAGCAGTGAGCACCAAACTTTAACCACCAGGCCATCAGGGCTGGCTCCAAAAGTTTTGTGTCATGTTTAGGTTTCAAGAAACCATCAGACAACTTTATTACTAAACTCTGCTCAAGGGAGAAGTTGAGCAGATCAAGTAGCTTGTCTTGACAACCAGAGTTACACTGAGTTTTACCAGTGCTGAGAAATAGCCCAAGAAAGCAAACTAGTGAGACGGCTGATGATTAATTTATAATTGATAACTATTATGAAACATCACTAACTTTCTCTTGAGTCATTTTATGACTTTATGGAGTTATCTAAAGTACTGTTTCACAAAATGTAAAAACTCTCCCACTTGCCTAAAGGGTCCTAAAGGGTGTTTCATGGTAGGTTTTTTTTTTTTTTTAAGTTCTGTAGCACAAAGGAAGGTACTTCTTACCTGTAGCTGTCAGCAGCTTAGGCAGTAAGAAATTATAGCTTTGGAAAATTGCTGTATTTTTATTCTTAACCTAACAAATTCAGCTGGATTTTTATGAGAATAGTTGTAAAATGTCACCATCAAGCATGAGGGCGGCTTTTGGTTTGAGATGTATTTATTTTTGCCATATAAAGGAAGTATCCGTCTATTCCTATTTTATTAGGAGCTCCCTCTTTTTTTTTGTGAGGAAGATTAGCCCTGAGCTAACATCCATTGCCAATCCTCCTCTTTTTTTTTTTTTTTTGCTGAGGAATATTGGCCCTGGGCTAACATCTGTGCCCATCTTCCTCGACTTTATATGTAGGACGCCACCACAGCATGGCTTGATAAGCAGTGCATAGCTCCACTCCTGGGATCTGAACCTGCAAACCCTGGATGACCGAAGTGGAGCATGCAAACTTAACCACTACGCCGCTGGGCCGGCCCAGAAGTTTCCCCTTTTAATCAGAAATTATGTTAAATTTTATTAAATGACCTTTTAACATTTGTGGTGATCATATGATTTTTCTTTATTAGCCTATTAATATGATGACTTAAAGTTATAGATTTCCTAACATTCAACTATGGGTTAAGTTTATTGAATTTGTTTGTAGGTTTTTTGATTGTTTACAACAATCACTGGCTGCATAATTTTCTATTTCAAAGTTCAGAACAATGAGATCTTGCTGTATAGGTGAAAGCAGAGAGAAGAGCAGAAAGCATCATTACAAAAAGATAAGAACTTATGCTTATCAACCTTTAAAATAAAACAACTAGTTATTTCACAAGCAAAATGAGTTTATTCAAGAATAGCCAAAGAATTGCAATTTGGGATGTGCATGCTATGATGGATCATAGGCAGATCCAACAAACAAGGGAGAGGAATGTTATTTTATAGAGAAAAAGGAGGAAATTGGGAGGGCTTGTTTTGAAGAAAAGTCCATTGGAGAAAAGCAAGAGTTCAGGGTGGTAATGGCTGAGTTACTGGGGTAGTCAATTTCTGTTCAGGATGCAATGTACATTTCTTCCTGTAATAGATAATTCTTTTCTGTTGATTTGTTTCTGTTGGGATCTGTAATTGACTAGCTTTCCTGTAATTGACCTCAACGGTACTGCATGGAAGCTTCCCCTTCT